TCTCCGTATTTTTGATGGTGCTAGCTCTCTGGTTGCCATCAAAGCTCCCATTTTGTAAACAGAAAAGCCGGCAAAGATTCTGGGCCAACCGGATTTTACGAGCCTCTCAACCAGACGTTTATGGCCCCTGCAATAAAATGCATCCTACTCAAACCCTTTTGACTAACCACCCCATCTCTTTTATGGATCATCCCCTTCTTCTCCTTCCCCCGCCCCAGCCTCAAAATAAAAGAATTCCAGGAGGCACCGCAAGGGCTTGATTTGAAACCCACCCCCCATCCTTGCCTTCCCGGCACTTAGCTCAGAAACTCATTTTCAGTGTCTGTTTTCAGATCGGGAAGATCTGAAATAAGGCTAAGGATACAGAGTCTTGGAGCATACACGGAGTGCTTTCTATCCTGCAGGAAGAAAACATACTCATTTCTAGCAAAGATGGTATTGGTGTATTAAATACTTGTATAGCACTTTCAATGTTCAAAGAGATTCACATCCTTCTGGACAAGTTGGAATGATGCAATGCTGAATGTCAGACAATGTCTGGGGTTTAAATTCTCACTCACTGGGTAAGCCTGGGCCATTCATTCTCTCTCATCCTAACCTTTTGTAATGGGGTAAAACAGATAAGGGAAGAGCTGTATATGCTGCTCACAGCTCCTTGGAAGAAGGGTGGAATCAAAATCTAAAAAGAAATATTATAACTCATACAACAACCGTCCGAGGATGGGGCATAATAGCAGGGTCTCAGTTAATGACTCTCAGCATCCCACAATTAAGGACATATTTTTTGACATATTTATTTCCTTCACTACCTTTTCCCTGGAATTAAACCCAAACAAATTGTAACCATATAAACTAAGCTTGTTATTCCTCTGTGGTCCTTGAATCTGTTAAACATCTTTATTATGCATAATTTACTGCTCACCCTCTGCCTATATGTATGGACTGGTAACTTCAATTTCAATGTATCTGAAGAAGTGTACATGCACACGAAAGCTTATACCTTGAATAAAACTTTGTTGGTCTTAAAGGGGCCACTGGACTCAAACTTTGCTCTGCTGCTTCAGACCAACACGGCCACCCACCTGAATCTAACACCCCTCTAAGGTAGGCCATTATTAGCATCCGGGGGGGGGCTAAAGCGGAGAGGGGGCTTGCTTAAAGGACAGATAGTTAAGTTGTGGCATGACCAATGTTTGAACCCAGGACCTCCCTGATTGTAGTTCAATCTGTACATTCAATCTGTACATTCTAGTATCTCCCATCTCAGAATGGCTTCTGAACGTTTAATTTCAGGCAGGGCGAGGCCTATCAATCTGTTTTTCATTACCAGGGTTCAGCCCTAGAAGACAGGGCACAATTAGTATATTGGCAGTGTAGGGTAGTGGTTGGAGCACCTGACTAGGAACTAGGAGACCACCATTCAAATCCCTATGTAGAAAGGTCTGCAGAAAGAAGGGCAAAATGCAAGATGCAAGAAGAAGAGGCTAAGAAAAACAATCCTGTTTCTTGAACACAGGATGTCAGCCCAACCTGACAAATACAGATTTGGTCCTACCTGCTAAGGGGCAAGGGAACTGTGGATCAGTAGTATAGCACATCACTTGCATATATGCAGAAGAAGCCATGTCCAAATACTTGCATTGCCAGCTCACCCCTTTGGGGAAGATTCTTCTGTTCCTGAGAACTGTGGCCAGAATAGACATTTATATAGGGTTGCCAGCTCTGATTTGGGAATATCCTGGAGATTTTGGGGCAGTACCTGGAAAGGGTGGAGTCTGGGGGAGTTTGGAGGGGATAAAGGTAAAGGTTCCCTTGCTCAAAAGCCAGTCGAATCCGACTCTAGGGTTGCGGTGCTCATCTCCGTTTCAAAGCCGAAGAGCCAGCACTGTCCGAAGACGTTTCCGTGGTCATGTGGCCGACATGACTAAACACCAAGGCGCATGGAACGCTGTTACCTTCCCACCGAAGTGGTACCTATTTATCTACTTGCAATTTCTTGCTTTCGAACTGCTAGGTTGGCAGGAGCTGGAACTAGAGATGGCAGCTCACTCCGTCATGCGGCAACTCGGGTCTCGAACTGCTGAACTACTGACCTTCCACAGCCTGCAGTTCAGCATCTTAACCACTTGAGCCACGCAGCTCCTTTGGAGGGGATATAATACCACATAACACCCATCTTTCAAAGCTGTCATTTCCTTCAGGGTAACTGATCACTACAATCTGGAAATCAGTGGTAATTCCAGAACTCCAGGCCCCACCTGGAGGTTGGCAGCCCTACCAGGCTAAATGGGCCAAGGATTTTGGTGGCCTCATGTGTACGGAAACCTTTTCCTTCACGTGGACCAACCAGAGGCCATCAAATCTGCTGTTCCATAATGGTCATGCAATCACCAATTCAAATCTACCGTGAACATATTACATAGCCAAAAGTGCAATTCGAAATCCAATGACGTTAATGTGCTCAGGGGGGAGTTCACTCCCTTTAGGATTACACTGCTGTTCTACTAGGTAAACTAGTCCCACAATATTCTGGATTACAGAGCAAGGGTTTACAGAAAAGAATGCATGTGAACGTAAGAAGAACCCTGCTGGATCAGACCCAAAGTACAGCCCCCATCCCCAGCTTCCTGTTTCACACAGTGGCCAGCCAAATGCCTCCGGGAAGCTCTCAGGAAGAACATGAAATGAGCAACATCCCCACATTGTTACCTTGCAACTGAAATTCTGAGGTACACTGCTTCTGTACATAGAGGTTCCATTTAGTCATCACGGCTGATGGTTGCCGATAAACCTGTGCTTCGTGAATCTGGCTGGGTCCCCTTTTGAACCATGTAAAATATGGTGCCTTCCATGAAGATCGGTTCAGGTGTGTAGTCTGTGTTGGTCTGCAGGAAGAAGGGCAAAATTCAAGTGTGGCAGATTTCTGACAAAGGGAGCTTTGACTTTGGGAAGCTTATATCCTGGAAATCTTGCTGGTCTTTCAGGTGCTACTGGACTCACGTTTTGCTCATTTAAAATGTAAATGTGCTTACTATTATTACTAACAGCAACAAAATTGCAGAGGTAAGATTGAGAGCCAGTGTGGCGTAGTGGGTAAGAGTACGGGACCAGTGCCTGGAAGACTCCAGGTTCGAATCCCCACTCGTGCCATGGAAGCTCACGGGGTGACCTGGGGCCAATCACATTCTCTCAACAGAACCTCCCTCACAGGGGTGTTGTGAGGACAAAATGGAGGAGAGGAGAAATAATGTAAGTCATAAACTCAGCCTAACCTACCTCACAGGGTTGCTGTGAGAGGATAAAACGGAGGAGAGAACACGTAAGCTGCTTTGGGCCCCCACGGGGGTGAAAGGTGGGATATAGATTAAGTAAATAAATAATGTAAGCCACTTTGGGTCCCCATTGGGGAGAAAGGCGGAGTATAAATCAGTTAAAGAAATAACAATAAATTAAAAGATGGCAAGAAGGCAGGGAATGGGCAGAGAAGCCCTGCCGGATGAGACCGGAGGTGGAACTTTACATATACATGCTTTTAAGGAAGTTGAAGGCACACCACACCACAGTAGTTGCTGGGACCAAACAGGATGGAGGGATTTTCTATTTAAAAAGAAACACGTTGCCGCGTCTTTTGGGAAGGGTAAAAAAAAATATATAGTTCTCCGACCCGATAGGAAAGATGAGGATGAGGAGGTGGAGGAAAGGTGTGGGGGAGCGCAGAGGAGAGGAAAAAAGAAACCAGCGGGCCTCTTTGAATCTCCGCCGATCCGCAGGATTCCGGCCGGAGTTGGGGCTTGTTGTTGCAACCCAAGGAGGAGGCAGCGGAGAGAGGGGAGGGGGCCGAGTTTGGAGGCGTTGCGCACGATTGGAAAGTAATCGCCGTGTCGCTTTCACCTTTTCTCATGCAAAGCGGGTGTCGTCGGGAAGGCGGATCCTAGACCAGGTCTGGCTCTCTCTCTGGGTGTGCTTTTTTCCCCTAACCGCCCCCTAAAAACCCAGCTGCTGCGAGCCTCTGGAGTTACTCTTCCAAGGGAGAGAGAGAGAAAAAAGAGGGCGAGAACGCGCGTCGCTTTTACGCACGGAGTCTCTCTTCACTACTCGCCCCCAGCTTCGCCAAACCAGATCCAGGGACCGTCGGATCGTGCGGATTGCAGAAGGCGGGGGAAAGAGAGGGGCTTCTCCTTGCTCTCTCTAACTCCCCCCACACACACCTCGGTGCTTTGGCGATCGCCTCCTGCGCCTTTCGCAATCGGAGAAAGCCCTCTGCCTGCCGCAGCAAACCCCAC